CTATGGGGAGCACTGCACACATGGGCTCATCAGTAAACGTAACCAATGAATCAATATAGAAAGCAATTCTAAGCCATACTGGAAAGGTCTGGGAATCAGTTACTTGGTAAGGACTCTCATTACCCATTTATTGCAGGGCTTACTCAAGACTGGCTGTTTCAGGCTTACAACAATAAACTTCAGGGTACTCTCAAAGCAGACAGGTATGTCTCCTAAAACCTTCAGGCAGGTACACAGAGATACAAATCTCTAACTCTGCAATAGCCCAAGCCAAGGTGAAGACAAGGGTAGGAAACAGGTTATCAGAAATTCAGTATTGAACCAGGATACACTCAGCAATGGCAGTTTACTGTAGACAAAAGCCTGCAGTGATGGTGCAGGCTGCCACCATCATTGGGAATTGCTATGGGAACGACTGTGAGAAAGCCTACATAAAAAAGAAAATTGATAGTTAATTTTTAAAGAATACATAAAAAGAGGTTGAAATACATTAGCTAAACCATTTACCAGATTATCAGTCAGCAATCAGAATGGGCCACAGAGCAAAAATGCAGCTGTCTACTTTTCAGTACTCTTAATCTCCATCTACAAAACACAAATATGAAAACTGTACTTTTTGGCTTTGCTTTTGTAAGTTCAGACTTACTCAGTTGAATTAGACCGTGGCCTAAATCTTTTGCCTCTGACTTTCTTTCTGTTTCCTCCTACATTACCTGAAAGAAATCAAAGGATAACAGATGGTAAAACAATTTGAAACTCACCTGCATCCCATGCCAAACTGTATTTTCTTTTTGCCTCCCCAGCAAAAGAGTCGTTACCTCATTAGCTTTAACCATTTAAAAGTCAGTCCCTCTTGATTTACCTCAGATCAGGTAAACTAGACACTTAGGTGATCCTTCTCTACTTTTTTCTGCAACTGTGCAGAGCAAAAAACTCCTTAATTTCAGCTTTCGTTTGAGAAAGTCAAGAAAAACACTAAACACTGCCTGATAAAATCACAGAAGCTGGCAAATGTGAATAGACTTCTTCCTCTTTTTCGTGTTAGCTCACACTGGAGGAATGGGAGAAATTGAATGTCGTTTCTATGTGCCAAAGCATTGTGCAAAAAAGGTACTTGAGTAGGGTGCTTCTAAATCCTAATTCCAGGTTAATAACAATTAGCACAATCTTAAGGAGTCATGCTGCTGTCCAAAGATCAGCCAAACTTTCAGCAGAGCGGCAATGGCTCAGAGGCTGGTATCCACTGTGGCCAGCACAGAGGTTCACTTACCTTGCCAAGAATTACTCCTAGGCCTCCCATTTTCACAAATGTCTGAAATATGTTTTGTGTCTGGGATCCTTTCACTCCAGGAATGAGATAATCCATTTGACCTGGAATAGGAGGGCTCAGATGCGGTTATTGTTAAGGGTATTGTCTCACATCAATGTTAGCTCAGTGGTTCAGAGTCACATTCCCGAGGCCAGTGACATAACATAGCCTAAGGTCTGTCTGCACTAGCACAGCATCCAGGATTTCTGGTTAAACCCTGCAGTTACACTTTGCCAGCTGTCCCTGCAGTGGTTTGGTGTGTCCACGTTCAAGAGCCAGGCTTCAGCACTGCTTTCTCCTGTGCCTATTGTGGAAAGCACAAACACCAGCACATACTGGATTTCCAGCTCTGCCCCAGTTCTTAGCTGGAAGATGCTCTTCCAACTGTGCTCGTCTCAAGGCGCTTTTTCCTCACATCCCACCTGCAGGCTGCCCATTCCCTCCTCGTGCTGTTGCAGTAAAGCTGGGACTGCTTCCCTCTACCCACTGTGACAAGTCTCAGTGGCCCAGGAGTCTGCGATGAACATCCTCCCACTCACAGCTGGTAGCTCCAGTGGCGGGGTAACTCTGTCTCATATTTGCTAATTTTGCATTATTATTCTATTTTTTCAGCTAGTCACTACAGTATATAATTTTAATGCCAAACTCAAATCCAAAACCAGTCTTTATATCTAGGTGTTTGGTGCAAACTAAAATTTTTCTTTCTTCTTGTATTCCCTCTAAGACCCAGAGATGTGTGTGGCCAGGTCCAACACATGGGGTTTTGCAACAGGCTCCCTCCTGTTGAACTAGAGCTGCTGCTCGGCTGTTTGCCATGAGATCTACAATTATTACCAAAAGAGAAGAAAACAAGAGGAAGTTGAAACCTGGTCAGAATAGATGGCTTATTTATTACAAAGAAGTTTTGCTTAGATCCTTTAGGATCTATTTCTGTAGTTTTTAAGTCTGAATACGCTTGCATTTTTCCGGCTCTGCTTTCCTTGGAGGGCAGGCATCTGACAGATGCTCTTCAGTTTCCAGAAGACCAGGCTAATCACAGCCACACTGAATTAAGTCCAGGGTTTCATGAATTCAAACTTGGTTACAGCATGAAAGGTCTGAAAACCAACAGATCCATTAACAGACTTTTTTTATAATTTTCTCCTCCTAATGATCTATTTTCAGGTTTAGGAGTGTCTTGCTATATACTGGTTGTGATGTTTGCTGTTTCATAATAGCAAGAGTTATCATAAAGTTCTCTCTTAATCCTTGAACACCCTAATACTAACACTTCATAGCGCTTTCCAGCATGGAGAAGCCCAGGCAGCTAATGGCCCAGTCACTCTGATGTCTCCCACGAGATGTCATCCATATCTGCACACAAAGCAAATTAAAACCAGCTTGAAAGTTAGGAAATAGCACTCTGGGCATTGAAATGGGAGGACTATGTCAGCTCCACCACAATGTTAATGGAGTATTTGTCAGACTTACTTTTCCAGACATTACAGTGGCACAACATACCTGAACTGGTGGTGGGGAACAACAAAACTCTCTAGTACAGACAGACCTTAGAAGCCATTAGCTTTTTGAAACGAATAATAAACAGAGACACATGAAAGAAATGAAGTATGAAAGGAAACACAGATACTGAATGAAAGAAGAAACACATTAAATGATATTCATTTTAAAACAAACTTTTTTTTCTTAACTAGTATTTGAACCTGCTTACACAAAGCTATGAAAACTTGCTTCCCCAAGACTTTTTTAAAAATTTTATCCAAATGAGAAAAGATTCTCCAACACAAACAGTGCATCATCATATATGATTAACGCTTGCTTCCTGAAAACAAATAATTTATCCACTCACAAATCTAAAAAGCTGAATTTAAAAATGATAAATAAATAATTAATTATACACTACTAGAGTTTTCTTAATAACACGTTCATTAGAACAGGTTGAATGAAGTTGCATATAGGATCAAGCTGCTATATCCAAATAGCAAATGTCACTGCGAATGTATCCCTTCCATACATTTCTCTTTACTTTCTTTGAAATAACAACAAAGAAAATGGCTTCATCAACTGCACAGTTACAGACTGCTCGGTGAGACAAGAATTGAGAATTGCAGTTTTCTTATGAAGCAGTTCAGGATTGTCTATCCCTCCTACAACAGTGCTTCTCATAAATTGTTTTAAAGTGTCAGCTGGAGATTTTCATAATTAAAGGATCTCTAACTGCAGAGGGATAGTGAGCATCATGACCTACTGACCTTAGCAATTACAAATGACTCTCAAGGCTTTTCAATGAATTTTCCGTTTTAAAATGTTGTTGAGTTTTTAAAGTAACTGGAACAATAACAGAATTAGTGAAATCTGATCAAGGGCAAAATCTAATGGCCTCCTTGGTTACTCGTAATAGCAAGCACAAAACTACAGAAAGTCTTTATAGAATTATTTTCTAAGATAACTTGGCGACTATTTATATACTAGTCTAGTAAGTGGAATAAAATGCAAGCACCATCATCCTTAATGTGAGACAGCAAGAATATTATCCAGAACTCCAGGTCAAGTCAGTGAATTAATGACGCTGACAAATAAAGATATAAAAATAACATTTACATTGAACAGTTTATGTTTATAACTATTATTGAAGCAAGGCAGTGTTCCTTTGCTTTGATTACATGACCATGATTTAAAAAATTGTGGTTCTTTTATTTAATTTTTTTTTGAGCCAGCAATTATTATTACAGTCTACTTGAAAACAATTCTCAAGCAGGGAGATGATGAAAATTTGATTAACCGAAAATTGGTTTACAATTGAAAACTTGTTTATTCTGGACTAGTTGTGATCATTAGCAGCTCAGGGCATGTGAGTAAAATCAGTAGTCAAAGCACAAAGGATGCTATTTCAAACATTCCACAAAGAAAGAAGAAAGACTCAAACCTGCTGCAAAACAATGAAATGTTCTGACTAATGGAATAATGGGTGATGGAACAGGTAGAAATCTGAAAATGCGACAGAAAAGCAGACCTCTTCTTAGAACTAGATGCAGAGTTTGTGCTGACTCCAGGAGGCATGTCGCTATAAAAAGAGTCGGCCTCTCCAGGCTTTTTTACATAATCTCCCTGGGGTATTTGTCTAAAGTATAATAAACATCGTAGAGTCAGAAAACATGACAGGCAGTAGCACGCACACAAACATGCACAAATATTAGTTTAAAAGAAAGAGGCAAGGATAGCGATCCTTGAGGAAACCTGTTAACCACACACAATAAGCCTATTAATAAATAATTCAACCATCTGAGAGAAAACTCCCACATGCTTCTGATATGTGCAGAAAAGTGGATAATGTGGTTTTGGTAAGGAAAAACAAGGAAAATTTCACTGATAAACTCTGATCACAATTTTCAAAGTGAATAGTTTGTGGTTCTTGAGACATCGGATAATCAAGTGCAGATATGTCAAATGGCTCATGGCGCTGGTTGCGAAAAGCACCCTCAGGCGCAGGACACGTACTGCAGCCTGAGCTGAATGCACGCCTGCATCAAAAAGGAGTTCAGGAAAAGTGAATGCTTTTTTCCTTCTGAGGTAGATGCTTTCCATTTAATTTTTGTGATCATTATTGAATTCAAAAATAGAAACTTATTGATTTGTTTAAACCTCAGGAGGAGAAAAACCTCCAGTTTAACTATTTTCTTGCACAGGGGAACTAACGCCAATGTCAGAGGTTCTCAGCTACTCCCAATTACCACAGTACACTCAATCTGCCAAGACACACAAAAATAATGCCACGCATATCTGACAATAGTTTATCCTTTTCTGGTACTAGAAGCTCGGTTATGGTGCATAAAACTATCTATGCATTAGAAAGTCCTAATCAAGTTATGCAAATTTATTGCAGATGGTGAATTCATTGCCAGCAGAAAAACTGCCATGCAAATATTGCAGCTACAGTTCCACCAAGTTGAAAAATCCTTCCTAGTACAAGTAGCTACTCTGAAAGTGGGCTATATCATAACGCCAGCAACTTAATTATCTATTCAGCCTTGCGCTTTCCAAGGCCTTTTTGCTTCAGTCTGCCCCTATTAAGATGCGCATTTATCAGAAGGTTTATTCACATTCAGATTGTGTCCAACTACAGACCTGGACTGGGCTCTCTTCATTCCATATCTGAATTTCTAAGGCTCCTAAAGTATTTAAAGTATATAATTATATGGCACATAGATCATTAGTATAACACAGTATTTCCACACTATTTCTTCTAGCATCTCTCAAGTCTTGGTTCTTGTCCCGTTCCTCGGCCGGTACATCGGTGTGTTCATAGTGGACTCAGTGTGGGCAGCTCTGCTCTCCAGGCTTCCTCCAGCAAACTGCCCTCTCGGGTACTCCATCAGAAATAACTTCTCCTGTGTAGCTGTGCCTGTTAAGCCACACTATCCCAGCTCACAGAATCCTTGCCAATTTGCTGTTTTTATTACTTTCAGTTTGCTCATTTCAGTTGCTTAGTACTACCAAATATCATTCCTTATGTAATGCTCAAAAATACCTCAATGGCTTGTTTTCATTGTTATTTAAGGAGTAATCATAAACAATTAAAAAAAAGGACACTCTGGACACTTTGATGGATGTCTGGTTTTTCCATTTATGAAACACTCTTTGTACATACCCAAAATTATTCTATTTAGAAGTCAGCCTACAGAACTTCATTTTCTGCATGAAGGAGATTTAGTTGCTAAATACCTCCATCATCTTCAAAATGATGGAGCCCTCCATCATCTTCAAAAGCCTCAGCTTATGCTGGTTTCCACTCTGCCCATGCCCACAGACACAGCTGCAGACTGATTGCATACTCACAGCTCTCTATCCATATACTAATTTCTGGAGATGAGGGAATTTGGAAAAGTTAGACTCTCTAATATTCCAATGCAAACATGCATGTGGCAGTCTCTTTCTGTATTTTGAGGTTTTGGCTGCTCTGTCCTCAGCCAACACTGATACACCCACAGTAGACTGACTTGATGGCCATGTTAGTCTGTGCTTACAGATACATCGCATGCCACTAAGCAGCACCAAACCCCGAAATTCTGCCTGCCTTGTGCCAGGTGACATCTCCTACCCACCAACCCCTCCATAAGGCTTGACTTCAATGGCTTTGCCTTTTTCGTAGAATCATAGAATCACAGAATCATAGAATGCTTTGGGATGGAAGGGACCTTTAAAGGTCATCTAGTCCATCCCCTCTGCAATGGGCAGGGACATCTTCAACTAGACCAGGTTGCTCAGAGCCCCATCCAGCCTGGCCTTGAATGTTTCCAAGGATGGGGCATCTACCACCTCTCTGGGCAACCCGTTCCAGTGTTTCACCACCCTCATCATGGAAAATTTTTCCCATTACTGTTCCTGCCACCTGTCTGACCTTGTAGTATGCAACCAGCACTTGGCAGAGCTCTTCTGCTTTCTGCAAGTATTTTGAGCCTGGCAGAGAAAGCGCTACACAGGTAGTGGAAATGGAGAACAAGCACAATGGGTAGCGGCAACAAACATAACAGCAGCTGGGACCAGGAGGCGGTGATACAGGCAGAAAACAGGGGAATTTGAGAAACCCTCTTATCTGTGGGGGACTGGGAGAGGAAGGAGTCAACTCCTTCCCAGAAGACCCATCTGCCAGGCAGATGACTGATCAAAGGAAGGTGGTCTTCCAGGAGCCAAACCCCAGTCACAAGGAACTGTTTGGGTTTTGGCCACAAGCTTAAAAGGGTAAAAGCTCAGCCCTGTGCTGAAGATGGTACCATGCTTTAGCTACAAATCAATCGAGAAGGGTGGTGGGAAAGAATGGGCTTTTCATTTGCACAGTAATTTAACTGCATTGTATTTTTAACTGCAAAGAGGCTCCAGGAATGAATTTGTCTCAAAAGGCTCCTGAACATCATGTTAATATTAATTATTCAATTCTCAGCCTCCCAAGAACACTTTCATCTCTAATAGCAGATTTTCAGTCTCTCTTATTGGAAATATTCTCCTGTTTTCCTAAATAAAATAGGCTATCTCAGAAGTAAACATTATTTTTGCTACTGAGTCCAGTGAAATCAGGATTTCAAGCAATGCATTTATAGAATAAATACCAATTTCAAGCAAATATTGTTTAAAATATGATATTCCATCATCATCTTTATAGAAAATACAGTGATCTCTGTATTTTCTTTATAGTATGTAAACGAGCAAGAGAGAAGAAAAGCTCTTTTCAGAGCTTTCTAAGACACATTTCATTACTTTTATCACATACCTCTGTCTTCTGTAGTTTCTTTCCATACAAAGAGAAGAGAAAGAAAGAAGAATGAGTTATCAGTATGCAGGTATACATGGTCAGTAAGACAAAAAAAAAACGTAAAGAGAAAAGCAATGTATGCAGAATGAACTTTTTGCTCAAAATATTTCCACAGAAAACACTTCTGAAATAAACATAAACATACTAAATCAGAATAAACATGGAAAATATATTCATATCCATGGCTAAAGTCAGCGCTGAGTTGGAGGTGCAGTTCATGATGAGTTTAAGTCTATTCACTGTGAAGCTGCTAGTGAAAGGTGCACTCTTGCCCTCCACCTCCAAAAACTAATCCCACTGGCTAGGTGTGATCTCAAAATGAGCCCTTAGCTTTTGGAGGTGTACTCAAAATAGAAGTCCAGATTTTCAGATACTGCCAGAAGCTGAGGGTGATATTCCAAGACAGCATAACCTATCCTTTTACTATCCGAATCTTCACGCTTTTTTCCAACTGCTTTTGTTACGTATTTCTGAGCTGCCCTCAGCCTACCTCGGTCTAACAAACCAGCAGGGGATGTGCCAGTTTGTCACGCCAAACCACTGGGGCCGTGTCCCAGCTCCAGCGCTTCCTGCAGCTGCACCTGCCCTGCCCTCCAAGCACACCAAGGACCCGTGGAAGAAGGACTTCAAGAGCCAGTCTCATCCAAACACAGGTGACAAAGTAAGTACCTTGAATCTTTCTTTAATACATGCAAAAAACTAACCCCCCTCCCCGTTTTTAGAAGAAATTCACAAAAGGAGAAAACCTGAAAAAGATCAGTCAGGCTAAAATAATCCATTTTGCCTTTCAGTGAGTGGAACGCTGACAGCTCTACACCAGGAGAGAACTTGGACTTTTTTTGCAAATTACTCTCTCTTAACGAAAAACATGCCTGAATTAATTTCAGGTTAAGCTGACTGACTATAAGTATCTGTTTAAGGAATCCTACAGTTAAATGCCTTACTGACTGACCAAATGCTAATTTGCTAAATTTACTAAATCATAATCTGATTGTCTACAAAAAAAAGGAAAAGAAATAACTAAATGAGAAATAAATTTCAAACCTGGATCAAGCTCTCCAAAACCACACACACATGTAAGAATTGCTTTAAAAATGCTAATACTATAAAAATGTCACTGTATAAACATAGTACAATTTGGATTTTTTAGATTATGTTTGAATTGTTCTTTTCATAACATAATCAGCTATTAGATGAAATAAACATGTTTTTAACTGTATTAAGAAGAACACAATTTACTTACTTGTAACCCCAACCAGTTATTCCTAAAACGAGAGCCAACACTAAAATGGTGCCAGCAATAGCCCCTATTATTATATTTGTGCTAACAACACCTGGAAACACAAGAAAGGGAAAAATATACAGGGTTTTAGGAAAAAAATATACAGAAACAGTAAATGCACTGTATTTCAAAAACCTGCTTTGACAACTTGCACTAGGCTGATTAATTGTAACCAGTGATATAATCCTGAAGTACACCATGGACATAAGAAGAACATTTGTAAATCAAGCTTTGACCTCTGGGTCCATTTCCCTTAACTGAACATTTGCTATATGGGAAAGTTGTGCCAGATATGCCAGTATAATGTTATCAATATTAAACTGCTGTAGCTTACATCCTTATAAACTACCTGGCAAATACATGCTTACATTGGAATAAATGTGACTTTTTTGTTTGTTTTTGCTCAAATCCCTTCCATAGCTGACTAAACTAACCATTCTGAAAGATGGTAAAACTGCCCCCACACAAGGATTTATAAATAAAAACATTTACATCCTCATTTTTCCACAATATATCTTTCTCTTGTATGCAAGCCTAAAGATGAATAAAAACTTCCACTCAAAAAATGTAAAAGCCTAAAATTTGTGTGCCAACATTCTGCATACTGGCCATGTAATAAAAAATTGACTCTACAAATAAAAACCAGTCATGTAAGCAACATCACCTTTCCATGTAGATATGGAAAGTCCCAGTAACTTTTTGCTTGTCCTAATCTATCAATATAATTAATAAGGCTACTCAGATGATTGGGACAAGCAAGGTACAACTGGACACACTGGTTATCAGTCCTGAGAGGTGTACTGAGTGTTTGTAAGCAGCACCGCTCACATCCAGCCCCAGGTCTGAAACCTCATTCACAGACACTGGGAGGAAGGGAAGGCAATGAGGCTCTTAATGGTGCACCATGTTGTATGCTAACTGAAAGAGTAGGAGATCTAGTTTTGCTTAATAAACTCTCCTCATATCAAAGCTTTTCCAGTTATCGGTAAAAATTATAACAACGTACCTTTATTGATGGCATCTTTATCAAAAAATATATCATCTTTGATGCGAAAACTGCAGTCATCTCCTCCCCAGAATCGGTCACAGACACACTTTATTTCATTGCTACAAACCTGCAGCCAAAAGTGTAGCTCAGAATACAATCATAAAATTAATCTATTCCTGTAATTAATACCTACATTATAGTTACAGTCATATAGCTCTGATTTTGACTGCCTGCGAAATTTTGCAAAACATTTTTAATATACAGCAATCTTTAATTTATATGTTAGACATAAATGTATTAAATGTATTATTATACTTTATACATAAATATATGTAATATGTATTAAGTACCTTAATATATTTTAATGTAATATGTACTTAATAGAGCCATTTATAATTGCTTTGGGAGACTCTGAACCTCAATGATTTTATTTTTTCAAAATATGATGAAGTGGTTAATTTCAGATAAAAAAAGGAGTTTTAATGCAGTGTAAAAGACAAAAGATGTTATGAGAGAACAACTCCTTTGATCTCAGCTCAGCCGTAAGGACCTGGACACTGTTTCAAACTGCGTGAGGGACTAAGGGACTCTCCAGGACCACAGCAAAGCCATAGGCTGTGCACCGAGCAAAGAAGCTGCCACTAGCGAAGAGCCACCTCACTGCCCTCTTCTCTAGAGCAACGTAACTCTCAGCCAACAAAATCTGATGACTTTGTGAACCTTCTTGGCTGTTGACATAATACAGAGGGAATTAAAAAGAGCATCTGGAAGAACAGAGACCCAAGTTTCTCAGTTCTTAAACCTTTATATTCTCCAGTACATTGCCTGAGGAAATACCAAGTTATCAGAAGTTGTAGCAAAATAATCGATAGATAAAATTTTTGCAAAACTAATACGTACTTACTGTGACTCATTGTTTAAGATGCCTTGACTGGTGTGCATTATGTTTATTTACATGCCTCATCCCCCTTTCCTTTTCAAAAGCTTCTCCAGTATAAAGACTTCTAGTCACGCTGCTGGCTTCCTGAAAGGTCTAGCTAGTACACTACACAACACCAGATACTCAGCAAAAGCAGAAAAAAGGATTAAAGAGTACAAGAACATACACCATGTCCTGAACAAATTTGGCTGTCTGTGGTGCCTGGGCAGGTACTGAAGTTGAAGGCCTCGGTGGGGAGGCAGCGATGCTCAAGGCACACCATGTTTGGCCCACACGGTGTCCCGTTCTCCACATAGCCCAGGTCCGTCTCCTCATCAAGCTTCACATGGCCGCCACTGCAAGACAACCAAGAGGACCCCAGAGACTTGTGCTGTGATTAGATGAGACTGCTTGAGAAATTGGGTTCTGGGCTGCTGCCTTCATTTCTGTCTGCGTTATACGATGCCCAGGACCAGAAAAGATTTAAGTATTGGCTTATTTACCTCACTGGCCCTAACATGAAACAAACCAAAGCGCAGTATATCTACATCAAACAAATGTAATGGTGAAAACAAAGACCATTTTTCCTGTGTAAGACCTAGTTTTGGATAAAACACTGAGTTTACTTGTGTAGGACTTTGTTTCATCTTACAGTTGTGTGAAACTATGAGAACACACCAGGTCTATAATTGGGTTTCAGCTAACATATGGCAAGATATTAAGCTGCCAGATAGCTTTGGCAATGCAGGCATATGTCTAAGTATTTTGAGTACATTAAGTACTTCGCAAACATTAAAGAATGTAAAATCAAGAGGCCAGAGAAGAGCATTATGTCTCTACAGGTAAAATTAACTACCGCACAGAAGGGGCTGCAAAACAGCTGTGCTCCCCACATGCAGTCAAGTTCCTGAAGCTTAACAAAAGTTGAGCTAGAATAACAGTTCTGTGTTAATAGGAAAAAAAAAATAATGGAAACAGTTGTTCTCCACTTAGAAATGAGAAAGATGCTTTTCCATGCAATATGGATATTGACTGTCTCTGTTCTGTTTTCAGGATTGTCAATTACCTGCAATTGTAGACTTTTCCAAACTGCAAGATTGACGACGTGATTTCACCATCAAGTTCTCCAAGTCTGGGCACACTGGATATATTGGAGCACAGAAGGTATCCACAAAGCACATCCCTGCATTGAGAGAATAAACAGATACTCACTGAAAAGAAAATTCAGTGAAAACAGATGATCAAAAAAATGTGGGGTTTTTTTCACTTGCTTTGTAACATGTTTGTTATTCCTTGCTTTTCTCCCACTGACAGTAACTCCCATAAATAATGTCTTGTTTCCCAAGAAAATTATTCTCCTTGGAGCTTAGACTGGGAAAAGAGTCTTTTTTAAGATTTATTATCAAAAATGCTCTGAGTAATAGCAAGCAGGGAGCTGTCAAGAACAAACCACATCAAACTGATTTATTATCCTATTAAGATACCATAACTGTCCTGTAGAAGAGAAGCAGTAGATATTGGCTTTGAACAAACTCTCATATGACACATATGTAAGGGAACTAGAGACACCAAGTTTAATTCAGCTCTTGAAGGGACTTTACAACTCATGTGCGGAGACTTGTGCACTGTCTGGCCTCTCCCATATTACTGAGTATTTTTTACTCATTAATTTATAGCGGAAAAAAAGTAAGGTTAGAAAGGTGGGAAAGGACATTAGTTCACCTGTAGGCAGGACTAGAATTCAAATGGCATTGACAGAATGGAGAACTCATCTGAAAAACCAGGGTGCAGTTTAATGAGGACTGGCAAAAGGTTCAGAAATAGGCAGAAATAATCAACTGCATAAACACAGAATGTAAAACAATGGTTTAGGCAGCAACATGCAGGAAAAGATGTGGAGGGTTACAATACAATGAAAACTGAACACGACTTAGCAATGCAATGGCACGGCATAAAAGGTGAACACCACACAGAGACATGAAACCACAGGCTGCTCTCCTCTGCACTGCTAAGCTTCACCAAGAGTACTAGGACTACTTTTGGTCCAAGTGCTCCCAAAGCTCAGATGGTGCTCTCTTGACAGAGATCATCATCTCTCAACACTCCTCTCCCTCCAGAATTTCCTGCACTAAGGTCTGCAGAAGAAGGCCAGGAGAAGTCTGTTCTGTACAGAGGCTTTTTGAGCCTCTTCGTGCCAGTTAAAGAACTGGATCAGGGATAAAAACCTCATACCAGTTGTTTTCTAAATGTATCAACTTACTGTTTATTGCACTGTATCCAAGAGTCCTTGTCTCTTCCACAGTTTCCTTTCTCAGTCCCTTCAATATTCAGCTTCTCATAGCAGTACCTGTCAGCAGCTGTCACTTCTAAAAACAGAAACAAATATCTTCTAAGATGATGAAGACTTTGAAAAGCCACGTCCTGGGACCCTACAGTACCAGTGGTGTGCAGGTGGCCTGTGAAACTCTGCACAGTGTTCTCAATGAAAAGTTTTATGTTGGCACCACAGGACTGTTTTAAGATTTTGTTCAGGTGGACCAGGGTTTATTGGTCCAAAATGTCCAGAAGCCATGGAAATAAATCAGTAAATATGAGTACAGTTATTAATGAGAAGCTAAACCTAAGACTTTGGAATAATCACCAGTAAGTTAACCAACACTAGAGAAAGAGCTGGAAAAGAGGATGGAAAGACAAAATGAGGAGGGAAGAGGGGGACAGACATACAGTCCTAGCTGTTTTTAATGGTTCTGAATATGTCTCTTCCACAATTTTTCTCAGCTAAGATAATCTTTCAAGCCACATGAATGACAACCAACTTAGAAACAATAACATTCACTCACTTTCACCCCAGATATATTTACACTGCCTGTCCCTGGTTTTACATCTTCCTCCAAAACAAATACCCTAGAAAGAAAGAAAAGATACAGATAAAGTTTCAAATAACTTGATTTTCCAAAATATGTATTTGTTTAATATACAGATTTGTCACATGCTTTCTATTGAGCCAACTAACATGTGATTCTACTTTCTGTTCATTTAAATGCTTAGCTCCAAAATATAACTAGCACCCAAAACTCAGGAATG